AACCACATACAAATCTGTAATCCTCAAGTGAGTTTGAGAGAAAGTTGTAATCCGATCAAGTGAGTTTGAGAGAATGTGATCTTCAATTTAAGTTATACCAACTTGAGAGAAGACCTTTTGTAAGCTTTTATTTGATTACAGTGGAAACGGTGAAGAAGGGGGCGGGTGAGGACGTAGGCTCAATTTGAGCTGAACCTCGGTAAATCTTGTGTGTGCAATTTCTCTTTGTATTTCTCTATTTTTCTCTTCTATTATTTGTTCTCATCTGATCACAAAGAAGGAAAAAATCTTGTTGTACTGTTACTTTCCCAACACGTGGGTTAATATTTCTCAGTGTCGACGTCACTCCCATGTTTAGGCCGATGTCTCTTTTAGAGGATTATTATAATAATTTATCTGAAAATATCGTAAGCGTCAAAGATCACGTGCAACAAATAATTAAGGCTGCTTCAAGAAGAAGTGACGCGTTAGAAGTCTTAATTTCCTCGACTAAAAAACATCGGCCAACCCTAGCTAGCGAACCTTGAACAGTATTTGCAAACCCTCCACAAATTCTCCATTTAATAATTAAAAAAAAAAACATCATCTAAACCCACATCTCTAACAATTCCTTCTCGTCGTGGAGCCCTCAACCCAACCGCCCTCCTCCTCTATAAATACCGCGTGCTTGATCACCACAATTTATTAATTAAGAACCAACAAAATAATGTCTGCCAAAATGAGCACACTCGTCGTAGCCCTGACCATAACCCTAGCTTGCCTCCTACCGACGCAAACCCGAGCCCAGAACTGCGGTGCGCCGACCTGGTCTCTGCTGCAGCAAGTACGGGCTACTGCGGACCGGCACACCTTACTGCGGTGAACGGATGCCAGTCCGGCCCGTGCCTATAATAAGGCCCCGGCGGGTTGGGCGGCGGAGGTTCGGTCGCCGCAATTGTGACGCCGGCGTTCTTCGACGGGATCAAAGCCCAGGCTGCGGCCAGCTGCGCCGGTAAAGCGTTCTACACGAGGCAGGCGTTTTTGAACGCCGTCGGGTCGTACCCTGCTTTCGGGACGACGGGGACTGCTGATGATTCTAAGAGGGAGATCGCCGCCTTTTTTGCTCACGTCACCCATGAGACCGGATGTGAGTTTTTACTTATTTATTTATTTATACTTTTATTAATTAGCTGACCCTTTTTGTTTCGTAGTTGTCCAAATTTATTTGCTAATGGCACAAAAGTAGGTAGCATCGTTGTTTTAATTAAAGGCCAGGGTTCTTATCGGATCAGCCATCTAGACCTAGTTTTTTAAAGGACAATTACATATAAGAAGTTCATTGTTGAACCTTTAGAGCCTTTTTTTGGGATATAAGTGAAGGAAGTTACTTGTAATTTATCCAATTACAACGTTGGGTTAATAGTGGATGGGCTCCAGTCACCCAGTTGTAAATAGACCTCCTATAATTCTATTACCTACGAATATAAGTTATATAACCACTGCACTATTATTTGCCTAAGGGCGTGTATATCCCTGCGTGAGCTGTATTTATTTACTCCTAAAGGAGTTACGAAAAGGTCCCCTCTCTATCGGAACCAGACAGACAAATAGAACTATTATAAGAGCCTATCTGCAATTAGGTTACGACAAGGGGCCAGCCCACATGTATAATTAAATGAGTTTTTCTATAGAGTGTCCATGGGCACTCTAGCTATAAGAGATCAGAGATATAGAGAGAGATGATTGGAAAGGGGGCCCAACTGATTTGTATTGGGATCGCCTCCCTAATTATCTCTCTCCTCTCTTATAGAATACCCATGAGCACTCTATAGAAAAACCCTAATTAAATAGCTAATTTGTCGCCTATCGATCATCCTCTTTCTCTTGCATGCAGACTTCTGCTACATAGACGAGATCAACGGCGCATCCCACAACTACTGCGACCCAAGCAAAACGCAGTGGCCCTGCAACCCCAGCAAGAAGTACTTCGGCCGGGGCCCACTCCAGATCTCCTGGAACTACAACTACGGCCCCGCCGGCAAGAGCATCGGATTCGACGGCCTCAACAGCCCCGAGACCGTCGGCAACAACAACGTCATCTCCTTCAAGTCTGCTCTCTGGTACTGGTTCAACGCTAACGTGCACCAGATCATTGTTTCCGGTCAAGGGTTCGGTGCTACGATCAGAGCCATCAATGGTGCTGTTGAGTGCGGTGGGAAGGCGCCTGCCGCTGTGAATCAGAGGATTGCGTATTATAAGCAGTATTGCCAGCAGTTTGGTGTTTCTCCGGGGAATAATCTCAGTTGCTAGATGCATGGCTGTGATTGTGTGATCGTACACATGCAGTAGCGAATAAATTGTATGTCCTTGAGTTTGGATATACACGTGGATGTGAGAATAAAATGAATAAGAGAAAGAGTGCATTTTAACTATTATTAAAATCATTGAAGCATATTGCTTTCATCTTTCTTCACTCAAAAAAAAAAAAAACTAAATAAATAAATAAAATAAAAAAGGACTTAATGGCTAGCTATTGTGAACATGCATTGATGAGGTAGTATAAGATTGTTGGGAGCTAGGTTGTGTTAAAGTCTTTACCCTTAATTATAACAAAACTTTGAAGTTATAGTGACTCACGTTGCGGATTCGATTTTATAGAAAACCCTCTTTAAATTCATGGATGATAGGATTTGAATCTGGGTTGCTCTGATATATATCATGTTCAAGTTCTTACTCATTATACCAAAATCTAAAAGTCATAGTGAGAGTTGAGGATTATAGTTTTATATTCTAACAGTTTGGTGTCACGGTAGGAAATAGTATTTGTTGCTAGATCATTGTGTGATGGCTACTTAGAGAGAATAATAGTGAATGATTATATATGCATGAGAATAGAGCTTGTATTAGATTGGATTACAGTTAATTACGTGTTCATTTACTTTTACCCGTTTATTTTTTCTAATAACCCAACCGGGAATCAAATCGAAGACTGTGAAAGGGACATTGAAATCTCTCAACCGCTCAAAATACACACATTGGATTGTACACGTTAACTGTTTATGTCATAAATATGAGACAACGGGCTCTTAAGCAACTTCGAAGTCTTGGACCTTTTCAACTCGACAAACGATCTCCTTTCGGCCCGTTTGGTTGGTTTCCTAAAAATCAAGAAAAGGAAATCGGTACAAGGAAATCAATAAAATAATATTTTTATCCATTTCCATCCCTAAAACTCACCCACAACATCTAATAAAATATTATTTTTATCTTCCAACTCATCTCATTTCATCTCCTTTCTTACATTTAAAAATAAACCAAACACAAGAAATGTGTCACATCATCCAACTCATCACAACTTATCTTATCCCATTTTTAAAAATCACACACATCATCCAATAATATTGTGACAACTCATCTCATCTCATTAAACATTCCTTTCCATCCATTTCCTCAAAAAAAAACAAGAAATTGGTTTCCTTAAGTATGTGTCACATCATCCAATAATATACCTCCAACTCATCTCATCTCATCTATTTTCCTATTTTTAAAAACGAACCAAACACAAACAACCTCAAAACATCATCCAATAATATACCTCCAATTCATTTCCTTATTTTTTTTAACCAACCAAACAACCTCAAAACAATTTTTTTTTAAAATCACTCACATCATCCAATAATAAGTTGACAACTCATCTCATCTTATCTCCTATTCTACAATTTCTTTCTTTTTTAAACCAACCAAACAACCTCAAAACAAATATTATAGGAAATAGGTTTCCTATTCTTTGATTTCCCAAAAAAAATGGCCAAACGAACAGCCCCTCAATGACGAAGCCGACATGATTGAATTCTAGTCAGAAAACAGCCTTCTTTAATTTCATCTCCGTATCGATCGTCAGAATCATTTTGTACAATTAGAGTGGGCTGTGGGCTTCCCTGGCCCAGCTTGGCTTGGCCCGGAACCCGCCCTGCTCTAATCGGACCGGACATCGACCCATGGTTGCGCCCCACGAAGGCAGGGCCCGAGCTGGGCGACTTGTATTTTGTGAACAGCGCGATATTAATAGCATGAGCCCCACTGTTACTTTTCCCTCATGGTGGGAGTAGTTACAATTTACCTGCGCTAAAATTAATACATAAAGAGCAGGAAAATGCGAAGTATACTACAAGAAAACTTGACACAAAGAGATAAAATCCATAAGTGCTTAAATTTTCTCTTTATAACTTTTAGTATGTCAAAAGTTGTATACCTCTTATGCACTGATGTCCCTGTTCTATAGGTGTGTCTGGCAAACTATACAAAACTGTCTAGGATGAGTCCTGCCCAGTTTTGTGCTGAGCTAGTTTTCTTTTGGACCAGCCCCCCTCTGGTCCTAAAGAAAACTGGTTTAGCGGCCAATTTTGTGCTACAAAACATTAGGTCAGCTCTAGCCCTCTCATTTGCCAAACAAGAAACCACTTAAAATTGAGTCAGGTTCAGTCATTACCCAATTTTACAAGATTGCCAAACACACCCTATATACATAACATTAAAAGTAAAATATTGTTTTACACCTATACCTATACAATTTTACATTATTACATCCCCACTGTTTAGCATGTAAGCTCAAAAATGGAGAGCCAATGGCTCTCTTAATTATTATTATTATTATTATTTTAAATTCAAACCCATGGATGGAGCCCAGCCCACCGTGGTGTAGCTAGCCAGCTTGATCTGGGCTTGACCTATGCTAGTCCTGGGTCGAGCTAGGTGCATGGAATACGCCGATTCTCAGTTTTTAAGTGCCAAATATGATATCTTCTGCAGTTCTTCCTCTCTGCTAAAGCACCACAACTAGTAACAAAATATATCGACTGTACTTGGCAAATAGAGAGAATTAATTTGTCTCGGCAAGAAAGAGTATGTGTTGTTAGAAGAAAGACCAATCTTGCGGAGCAACAGTGTTTAGCTTATAAATATCGGTTTATTTTCAGTAGTTTAAGATGTCGTCTGTACACAGAGGCGTAGCTACGTTGAACTTGCCCTGGGCAGCTGCCCAGGGCAAGAAAATGATTTTTTTTTAATATGTTTAATATTTTAATTTTTTTGGCCACGTATCAGCGCCCCACCCCTTTTATTTCTCGGTTTTCTCCCGACTCCCCCTGTCCCCCAAATCCCAATATTTCGAAACGAAGCGCAGAGAATAGAAAAGGGGCCAAAAAAAAGCTAGGGCTTCGAGCCTTCGAGTCTCCGACGACCGCCCCCACTCTCCGAGACTCCGACGACCGCAAATCCCCTCTCCGAGACTCCGTCGGCGACCGCAAATCCCCTCTCCGAGAAGGCTTCGACAGTTCGACGATCGCAAATCCCCTCTCCGAAGACTCCGTCGACGACCGCGGACCGCCCCCACTCTCCGAGACTCCGACAGTCCGACGACCGCCCCCAGTCGCCTCCCAGAGCAAGCCCTCAACCAGTCGACGCCGATCCCAAGCTCTCCGACGAGTGACGACGACCGCCCTGAGTCCACGACCAAGTCCTCGCCGGAATCGACCTCCTCCTCGCCTCCCGGACTCAACATTGAGAAGTACGTTCTTGCAAGCCATTTGTGCGGGCCCTGCGGGGGACTATGGGGTAAAATTTTGGTAAGCCAAGTATTATACCACTCTCTTTTATAAAAGTCGGTTAATTCAATCTAAGCTCAAGCTATATATTAAAAAAAAATATTTTTGCAGGATCATGTGAATGATATTGACATTGTTTATTTGTTTATAATAGAGTATGCAAGGCAGAGGTTTCAACAATACTGGTTGAAGAAGTTTGATGCCCTGGATTGCACAACGTTTTAGGCTCGACCTCGACTGGTACGCCCTCCTCCAGCTCCCTCACCCTCATGTTAGTTCTATGACACTTCCTGTTAGTTCTGTGGTGTTTCCTGTTAGTTCTGTCTTCTTTTTAGTTAGTTCTGTATCTGTTAATTCTGTTGTTAATTCTATTTATGCCTGTTAGTTCTTTTAATATCCTAATAACAATCTATTAATTTTTCAAGCTAAAATGCCTGTTTCGACTGCAAGCACGGAACGAGCATTTTCAGCAATGAAACTCATAAAAACATCATTGCGCAACAAGATGGGTGATGAAATGCTTGCTAATAACATGATACTTTATATTGAAAAAGAAATTACTTCCAGCCTCGACACAGAAGAAATAGTAGAGGAGTTTGATTCACGACATACTCGTAGAGCTCGACTTAGATAGATACTTTTGTTAATTTTTGTATCTCATATTTTGAATGTGTATGATACAACTTTGTCTTTTTTATCAATATCTAATCAAAGCACTCTTAGTTTGTTTATTTTTTTTTGCTTTGGAGAATTTTCGCCCAGGGCAAACAAAATTCCTGGCTACGCCACTGTCTGTACATATCATATTTTTGGTATTATGTTGTTAGTTTCAATTAGTCTATAGAAAACTTAATTTCTCTTGACCAAATGTATGGCTGACTTTGGTTCTTGCTTACATCCATGTCAACGGTGAATGACGGCAAGGCCCTCTCTTCATCTTCATGGATATTTGTAAGAAGAAGGTCCTACATCCCTAGCAAGAGAAATTATTCTTTCTATCTACTAATTTATATGGTACAGTTCGTATCCTTTTTTTGTAAACATACTTTTGTTTCTAATGAACATGGAATACCCCTTGTTTTTCTCTCAAAAAAAAGAAAAAAAGAAAGAAAATGTGTTAGAGAAGTGACCAGAGAAATATATCATTCGGTTCAATTTGAAAATTGAACCGAACCGAGCCAAACATATTTAAAAATTGAATTGAAGCGTCAAGATTCTGTTGGTTTAGTCGATTTATTCAGGTTCAATTTGATCAATGCTCTTCCCATCTTGCGTATAACTGAATCGTCACTCACAATGACTTTCAACCATTTTTCACGGGAGTCGTCACTGCAAATATTTAAAGAGGATTTTGTACCATTAATTGTTGCAACTCCAACTGATGCATGCAAACTCAGCAAAACAAATACTTGCAACTAGGTAAAATAACCCCTAGTTACATTATATATGTTGTGATTGTAATCAGTCCACTTGCGAAGCTATCAAATGGCACTCAATACTACCTATCACAGGCTTGCTCTCCTCCTCCAAGAGTAGTAATTTAGTGGAGAAGCCAGACCTGAGGGGTAGTGGGGGGAAATAAAGTGTAAATGAATAAATATTTATAAATCCATTTATATAGGTTCATTAATAAACTCCAACATCAAAAGGAAGGCCTTTATAGTTGTTCTCAATGAGTTTTCATATTCTGGAATCTTTATATGATCAACTCATTTTCAATCGCATAAACAACATCTTTCTCCATACAAGTAACCAAACAATCATTCAACCATCTCACATTTTTTTTTTGAACCTGAGAAACAGGGTGAGGTATCCTGTTCATTTGAATATATTAATAGAAGATAGAAGAATGTACATACTTCTTCTCTAGATGATGGTGAGATCAGTGAGAGAGGTGGGTAGGGAGCGGACCATAGTCGTCACCTACCACACCACACCAACCGATTCCATCATCTAAAGAAGGCAAAAGGAAACCAAAAATAGACAACGTTTCATAAGGATCATAGAAAACACTACAATACTGATAAGAGACTGTAAATGCTTGGCACTGATAGCCCCTAACCAAAAGGGAACAAAAAAACACCCAAAGTCAACAAAGCATGTCTTGAATGCCACTCAGGATACAGATGTTAGCTGCTGCGGAGGCTCTCCCCTGCATCCCCTGAGGAAGACTTCTTCGCTAGGTTCTGGAGGCCGAGATTAAGGGCTGCCCTACGAAGCCTCCTCGCCGTCCTGTCATCTTCTTCACCTGTCCAGAAAAGTGAGAATCTCGCAATATTAGATGCAGCTAATAGCGAGTTAGGGGGAGTATCTCTGAAAATTAAAGAGTTCCTTGTAAACCATATCCACCAACAGAAACAAGGCAACAAGATCTTCCAAAAGGTTTTGATATTCAGGCAAATGTTGGGTAATTGATAGAGCAACAGCAGCTTTTCCATGTTTAAAGGCCAGCAGTTTGCTGGGAAATGTGGGAGAAGGTGATTCCATACTTCATGAGCAAAAGAGCAGTGTATAAATAAATGGTCATGGGACTCCGTCTCCCGATGACATAATGGACAACTTGGATCACCGCTCCAACCTTTTTTGATCAAATTATCTTTGGTATTCAATTTCCCTTTAGAGATGATCCAGAGGTGGATTTTTACCTTAAGGGGAATGTTGGATTTCCATATTAACTTGAAAAACTGGGATTTAAAACCCCCTGAAGAAGTAAAAGAGTAAAGGGATTTTACAGAGAAAGCGCCCGATGGGTGAAGAGGCCACCATAAGGAGTCTTGTTCGGATGGGCCACCTGGAGATAGATGTTCTAGGAAGGAGTGGAGATGAATAACATCATCCCTCTCTCTTGGGGAAGATCCCCTTCTAATAATAGGATGCCAAAGCCATGAACCATATGCCCATCTACCTTGCGAACTGATGCTACAATTACTCGAGAAGGCAAGCTTGTAAGCATGGGGAAAGAGGCTGCTAAGGGTGTTAGCTGCTGCCCATTTGTCATGCCAAAAACTGCTCGAAGTACCATTACCGACATTCCATCTGACAATGCTGAAGAAAGTGGATTGAGCTGAGAGAAGGTCCTGGAAAAATCTTGAGTGTGCCAACTTCGGATGATTAGCAAAAGGGTTAGCTCCATGTTTGGAATATATAGAAAAAAACACTTCACTGAGGAATGATGATCTATCCCAAATTTTCCAGATCCATTTGGAGAGGAGGGCTGAATTAAAGGAGGGGATATCAATCACCCCAAGCCCACCTTCAACTTTGGGTTTACATACTATACCCCAGTTAATGAGGCACTTGGATCTAGAGAAGCTGTGGCTGCCATTCCAGAGGAAATTTCTTCTGATTTTATCAATGGCCTTGGAGACCCATATCGGCAACTTGAAGAAAGACATGTAATAAAGGGGAATAGAGGAGAGCACTGAGTTCAGCAATGTTAATCTGCCTCCTATTGAAAGAGTTTTGTTCTTCCATAAAGATAGCTTTTTTTTAAAAGATTCTAGGAGAGGTTGCCACTCTCTTTTGGATAGAGATCCCCTTTTCAGGGGGAGACCCAGATAAGAGAAAGGGAGGGTACCGACTGCACAGTTGAGGGTTTCAGCCAGGAAATTGCCTTTATGAGGGATTTTCCCAAGATAGTACAGATTGGATTTCTGAGGGTTAGCACAAAGCCCTGAAATGCTGGCAAAAATTGAAAGAATGGATTTGAGAGTTACCATATCAGAGGAGTTAGCCCTGGAGAAGATCAGGGTGTCGTCCGCAAATTGAATAGATCTGATGGAATTGAGTTTACCTTTCAATTTGAGATCGGAAAGGTCACCTGCATCTGCACTGCATTTAAGCATCCTACTGAGGACATCCGTCACAAGCAGGAAGAGGAGAGGGGAGAGGGGGTCTCCTTGCTTGAGACCCCTGAAGCATTTGAAGAAAGAGGTTGGGGAGCCATTGACCAATACGGCAGATTTAGAGGATGAAATGATATGGTGAATCCAGGAACACCATTTGGGGCCAAAGCCTCTGGCTTCAAGAAGGGAAAGGAGAAAGGACCAGTCGACACAGTCAAAAGCCTTATAAAAATCAACTTTAATGGCACACACCTCTTTTTTCCCAGAAGAACAGAAATTTATCATTTCGTGGCCTAACAGAAAAGAATCCAGGGAGGATTTACCTTCTTGAAAGGCAGATTGAGAGTTGTCTATAAGCAAGTGGAGAACTTTTCTAAGCCTATTAGACAGGACTTTAGAAAATATCTTACATGAGTTGTTGATCAAGCTTATGGGCCGGAAATCTTTGGGGGAAAAAGCATCTGCCTTTTTGGGGATGAGGCAGATATGGGAGTAGTTGATGTTGTGGAGAGACTGGGGGTGAGAGAATAGACCTTGAATGAAGTCGAAGACATCAGATTTAATAACTGGCCAAAACTTTTGATAAAAGAGAATAGGAAGGCCATCTGGTCCTGGGGATTTGTCAGGGTGAAGGCCAAAAACTGCTTCAGTGATTTCTTGTTGGGAGAAGGGGAGATCGAGGGAGGCTAAGTCTAGGAGGCCTGAAGGGTATAAGAGATTCCAGTTGGGTCTCAAGCTAGAGGCAGGTGGTTTGCTGTATAGATTAGAAAAAAAAGGAAAGGAAAGATAGCTTAATATCACTATCAGAGGAGATGATTGAATCATTTATAATGAGATGGGGAATAAAATTTTTTCTGCGGTGACAACAACTCAGCCTTCTTTCAACCATCTCACATTTTATTGCGCAATCGAGTTTTCATGATTTTCATAGCTGAAAGTTCTCTTTATGCAGTTATTATAGCAACAGGTAAAAGTAATGCTAACTTGACAATCAAATGTATTAATGGATATGCAAGATTTCTCCATGTTTTCACCAACTTCTTAATTTGCAGGGTCGACAATTGCCCTCGACTCTGAAAATGTCGAGTTGGTTATCAAGTGCCATAAGCTTACCGGAGGAGAACTCCGTAGGATAAAATTGAGCAAGTCAAATAGGTACTTTTTCTAGTCAGAAGCTGCAAAACTATTATCTGGATTCAACCATATTGAATCAATCATATTGAGCTCCTTCAGTTGCATATTGATAATGGCATAAAATAGCTCAACACAATAATGGTGTAAACTAGTAATCTTCTAAATTAATTTTAATGTTGTAACAGTTTCCAAAATTTGAGACTTCATGTAATATATAATGCTTCTCATCCACATCTCTCATCCTCTGTAGCCGCTCTTTGGAAGCACCAACCAATTTACGAACTCATTAAACCAAAAAGTACAAAATTTCCACGAGACAATTTCGATTTTTGTACGTGGAAGAAGAGTATGATTGCAATGTTGGCAAGATCTCTTTTGAAAATATTCTCTACGTGTCATATCTCGATCACTTGGATGGTAGGACTATATTCTTTCTCGTTTTCTAGGATCGTTTGGAAGTTTACTTAAATTTAGCTCAATCCATTGTTGCTTCAAAGAAACTCTCGAAATTGTCTTGGTGGTTAATTATGTTCTCTAGAAGTAGATGATTGCCCCTTTCCTTGTACCTGTCATTGCCCTTGTTCTGAAATTTGGTTTTCTTTTCACAAATTTATCATGGCCTATTTAGAAAATATACGACCAAGTAATTTTATGTATAGTTAAAATTAAATAAACTCTTAATACAAATTGAGATAAATAAATGGTAATGTAGAAAATAAATATTCCACTAACAGGTTGATGGATAATCATAATATTAGTTTAACAAGAACTGCAAACAATTATTTACTAACTATTAATTCAACTATGTTATATGAATTATAAATAATAATAAAAAATAAACAAGTAATGAAATAAGAAGTCAAAACACCTAACTTTGATAATAGTTCCTTTGCATCTTAGAACCTTAAGGTACCGTTTGGCAAAGGGTTAAGTGAGGGGTTAAGGAGACTTAACCCCTTCTTAACCTGCCAAACACAACAAATCTATATAAGGGTTAAAGTGAGTTAACCATCCATAATTTGCCAAACATAAAAAATATAGAAGGGTTAAGTTAACCCCTCTAGAGGGGTTAAAATGAGTTAACCCCTCAAAATGAGGGGTTTACTAATACTCCTATTTAGATGGAATAAGAGTTAACCCTTCTAATTATAAAGAAAATAGTCAAAATCATTGTTATTCCCAAACACTAAAACTGATCATAAGGGCTAAAATAAAACTTATTTAACGGGTTAATAATTTAGTCCTTCGGATTATCAAATGGGCTAAGTACATTAATCCTTCTATTTAACCCATCTTCATTAACCCTTTGTCAAACGGGGCCTTAGACTTTAAAACCCGTCAAAAGTATCTCAAACACAAATGTAATGCAATTCTTTTTGTGTAACCTTATGCGAAGATAATTTGAACATATAAAGTCAAGAAATTAGAGGGTTTACCTAATATTTGTCTCCAAAATGTTGATTCTGCCTTGGTCCTTTTCAAATGGCAGCGAGCCATCCCTATGCGTGTTTTCTTTTCCGATTTTTTATTTTACACTGTATCGGTAATTAGAGATGAAAATTCCGAATTTGATTAGAGATAGGATAAGGGTTGGGCTTCACTAAATGGGGATTGGGTTTAGTAATGGATATTCGCCTAGTAATGGCAATTGGGCCTAATTAGTTGGGTCCTATTAGTGTTAAATCTTAAGTGGGCGCAGTATAAATGTTATATATCAATAGGAAATATAACGCATGTATATGTATGAGGTATACACCCAATAAAATTCCAAGGGGTACAATTGCTCACGATGGAATGCAAGTGGCTCAAACCACCGTCGGTAATCTGGATGGTTGGGAGATCCTAATATGACTCTCACAATCAGATGTTTAATTCTGTAGTAGCTCCGCCTAATTCTAATGCACGAAATATCGTCCGGTTTCAGTGTTTTAAGTACTAATGTGAAAGATTGGTCTTCTAACTTTAAGTTGATTTTCAAACTTTACTTTCTTTTCTCTCTTTACAAAAGCTTCACCAGATAGCATCCTGATTTGGAAGACATCAGACTTCAACTTTAACTACGACATTCCAAAGTCATGTTCCCGTGATAGCTACGAACTGGAAAAATATTGCATTTGTGTACAAAAATGCATTCATCCTTCTTCGGTGTTATTTGGTGCAATGATCACATTAAAATAATGAGCATCAGTTTGCTACACTCGTGTATTTATGAGCAAAAGGTTTCGTAAAAACAACTCCTCCAAAGCCTATATTTCTAAATCTCTATGGAAGCAGTAATTACACAAATAATCTATAGAACATATTAAAAGCGGTCCTTTTGATCATTGTGAGACACTTTTTTTAAAATTTTTTGAAATGCTCTTACATCTGAAAAAATTAAGGAAAAATTTGTAAAATAGACCTATTTTGCTAAATATTTAGCAAAACAGAACGCTTTGCTAAATATTTAGCAAAATAGACCTCTTTTTGGCCAACAGGCCAAAAAGAGACCGATTTTGCAAAACAGACCATTCGAAACATACGGGACTGGTAGTATTATTTCGATACAACAAATGACGAACACAGGAGATGCAATCACTACGCTAAACCTTTTTAACTAGTGTGATGCTGACGCTAATCCTTGTCTACCCAATTACATCAAAGGTTCAAAAACTGAGCAGAGTCAACTAAAGTCATGCGCACCCATAATATTGCAAAGGGAAATTTTGCAAAATAGTTCGTTTTTACTAATTATTTAGTAAAATAGACCGTTTTGCTAAATAATTAGCAAAATAGACCTCTTTTTGGCCAACAGGCCAAAAAGAGGTCTATTTTGCAAAACAGCTCAGAAAACATACGGGACTAGTAGTCCCGTATGTTTTAATCACGGATTAGTAAACTCAGAAATTTTCACAAAACATTGAGATGAACTCAGAAAACATACGGGACTACTAGTCCCGTATGTTTTCTGAGTCACTAATCAGTGATTAAGTTGGCCCTAAACATACGGGACTAGTAGTCCCGTATGTTTTCTGAGTCTTATTTTTTAAAATCGATCACTTTTTTTCAAAAGAGGTCTATTTTGCTAATTATTTAGTAAAACGGTCTATTTTGCTAAATAATTAGCAAAATAGACTATTTTGCAAAATTTCCCTATTGCAAAATTCCCTCCATAAATAAAGCCCAACCCATAAGGTAAGGGGATCAATCATAAACCAGCTGGCCGGCGACAGCTGCTAAGGTAGGCGTTTCTCGATGCGGCCGCGGATAACCCGTGCTTCAGAACTTCAGGGGCTGATGATTCCAAGAGGGAGGTGACTCCGTTCTTTTGCTCATGCAACTCATGAAACTGGATGTGAGTTTGGAGTGTTAATTTTGATTTTTTTTTTTTTTGAGCTAAAATTTTCTAAACTATTTTTGCTACTTTTAAGTTAAACCTTTTTCTTTCTTTTTCTACCCGTGGATCCCACATGAGTTTCCCATCTCTTTCCGAATTTGTTTGTACACAACAAATTAAACTAATTTAGGAAGGATTCCATTTTGGACAAAGAATGTACTTATGAGATTAACTATGGAACAAAGTGACACATGTCATTTTCTTGGGGGTCCAATTAAGATCACTGAGTGTCATATAGACGCATCACTTGTCCTCTCATAATTAATTTTAAGTCTGAACTTAATTTTCATAATTTAGGATTTAACACGGTTTTTTATTAATTCAATCTTAGTACCACCTAAAAAATAAATATGTTACTAATTTAAGAGAAACGTTTATGAGTTCACATTTTTAGGACACTAGAAATGTCATCCCACCTAGAAAAAAGAATAGGGATCATCTAAGAATCGTCCGCACATGAACGGGTGGTTTTGAGCCACATATGAGGAGGGCAAATCACTATTTTTCACATGTGCGGCTCAAGACTGTCTGCTTGCAGGCGGATGATTCTAAGAGGATCCACATTGTAGGAAAAATTTCAGAAATATATCAAACTTGAAAAAAAGACTACAAAATGCCCTCACAACCACACACATAGGGAGAGAAAATTACAACTTTTCACATGTGAGACATAGAACCGCTTGCTTGTATGCAGGCGGTTCTAAGAGCATCTATGCTCTTGGAAAAACTAAAGAAACGTGTCAAACTCGGGAAAAAAACCACAGAGATGTTCTCACACTTGAAAGAGCTGGTTTTCACAAACTTGGCAGCTAAAATAATGAACGCTCGAGTACTTAAGAACAACTATTTACAAAAGGACAGCCAAAACTTAGAACTCATAGGTCTCAATCTTCAGAAGAGAATTAACGGTTACAAAACAAAAAAAACTATAACATACAAATGAATAGTCAAAATTATTACTACAAATCCATTCCAAAAAAAAGATAGAAAAAAAGGAAAAGAAGTAAAAATAATTGAAAAAAAATCCTTTTAACAATATTGACAGCATCTTAATTAATTCTTAAACTTCATCTGTAACGTACAGCGCAATCATCTTCTAGTGTCCCGGGCCATCTGGGCTCGGCCCAGCCGGCAACCTCGCCATCCAACGCGACAACGTCGACCTCATCTTCTCGTATGCATCCGGGTTCGGGTACGCCAAAATATTCGCCCGCCCGTTTACACACTCGGGCGCCGGCCTAGCATCCGCAAACTCCATGGTCAAAACCATCCATAACAATAAGCTAACCATCAAAATCACAAATTTCCTTTGAGAATTCATCACGAAAGAGGTAAATATTGAAACGAGACGTTGTACTGTGTATGATATTATTGAAATGAGAAGTTTGTGGGTATTTATAAGTTCGTTGGACTTGTTTGTGCAGCAAAACTTTGGACTAGGTTTCTTGTTGACCAAGCGGTCGGATTTGGACCGATTTCAAGTTCCAGCATTGACTTGCCGAATGCTAATTAAGCACGGGTTGTGATGTAATTGGTGACGAGTTTTTCCTCCAACTTTCTATGCTTTTATTTGTCAGACCGTGCAACCGAGTAATTCACAAGGTAGTTGGTGGATTGTTGTGTTTGGATTTGTACTTTAGTATATATACAGTTTGATCATGCAACCGAGTAATTCACAAGGTAGTTGGTGGGTTGTTGTGTTTGGATTGGCATGTGACATATACAGTTTGCAATTGATTGATGTTTGCCTTGAGAATTTTGTATAGGTTACGGTTATTAATACAGATGGATTATGGTAATAAACAGCGGGACGGCGTCTCATTGAGAGGAGACTCAAAAGGATTATTCTTGTGATATACAAGCTTTTGCCATTAGGGAATCCAGAGTAAAACAAATAAAAGAACAAGAAGGATAAGAATATCAGCTCAACCTGCTTGCGTTTAAGAAGCATGGGTGTGTTCGTCAATCACCCTAAAACCAGACCAGGACCAAAGCTGATCCTGTGGCTAGTCCTGTTTTAAACAAAACCAGTTTATGATGCTAAATTTAGCATTAGAAAAACTAGGTCGATGTTTGCTCGCTGTTACCCCCCAACACAATTTCCCCTAAAATAGATCCAGGATCAAACTTGACCCTATTTTAAGGAGTTTCCAAACACACCAGAGGGGAAATTGCAAACAGTGCACACCAAAAGAATTAAACTCTTACGTCCAACGCACATTCAAGAACTCAAAACTTGACAGGCTTTGAGTAACATTTTCCCACGTCTGTAAATCCAAATCCTATTTGAAGCTAGTCAAAATTTCAGGAACAGCAATAATGCCTCGAAGCACTTTTTTGTATCAATTACCATGACAATCAGATCAACAAATAAAACATGCCAAAAGAATACAAGAAAACATGCAATTCTATTTATCCAAAGAAAAGAGAGAAAAAGATATAACTCTTCCTATTTGCTTTTCAAAAGTATAATACACAAAAGGGGTACAAAATCAACCATCCTTCTCTCTTCACCAAAAAACCCCACAGGTTGCTGCAACTGACAGGTTAGGGTCCAATCCAAAACTCAACTCGCCACACTGCAAATAGGGAAACCTGCAAAAGAAGCAGATTTGCATCGATTCCAATGGGAGCAATCTTTAAAAAAAACATATATTTAACCAAAAGCATGATATTGTATTTTCTGATTTATCTTGAATGTCAATAGTTAAAGATCAATGTATAATGTAAACAGTTTGAGAATAGCATTATCAAATAAACGATTCAGCGATGATGACTATAGTTCTATAAATAACTAGGCAGGTGGTGCTTAGTAATAATAACTTTAACATCTTTATATTCGAACTGGTATTGTGGTCTTAACCATGGCAAAGGAAGGCCATGCTCCCCAACTATTCTGACCATTGAGCAATAAGCAACATCAATATGGGAGCAGGCTAAGAGCAGCATGCTTGATGTAAATTATATGGTAGGAATTCATTCTACCACTCTGCTCCATGAGTTGTCTAAGCCTATGATTTTCCTTCTCTATTCTCTAGAGAGAGACTGCTTAATTGAATTGCGCCTCAAACCTCAACTATTTGACTGCTCAGACCGAGCTTTTCTTTTTTTCAGATCCTCTCTTGATAACTTTCAGGCACTGTTTTTTATCTATATAAACAATGAGTCTATGATGGCAATTCTTGTTAGTTCTCTAAGCAACAAGTTTTTCTTTACTCACCCCTTCTCCCATCAGTTGATCAATATTTACCAATACAATTCCATTTTACCCGTTTTTGCTCCCATAGCCAAAAGAACCAACACATTTCTGAACCACTTGCTAAATTCTCTAGCAAGCGACCTTGTTAAGTACCTTACAAAGGTTTCTAATCATGTCAAAGAGCTGACAAAAAAGCATGTGGGATTTGAGGGAAAGGGGGATGATAAAGAGAAAAAATTGCACAGCTGAAACACTGAAGAAAGCTAATACACCCAGTAGAAGGTTGCTTCTGGCGCACAGCAACAGCAGATCAAAAAGGCAATGAAATTATAAGCAACTGCAAGACAATAAGTTGGAGGTGTTGTCGTGATTTCTCCTTCAACTGTTGGCCTAAGTATGTTATTCAGATGAATGCATTAATATACTTGAAGGATTTGTACAATGAGGGTCATTTTGATGCTGTGTTAGTGGAGCTGCCTCTAACCTCTGATGAGATGCCAATTGCACTCACAGAACAAGGACAAAAAGAGTCAAATCGTGGCACTGCAAATTTCAATACATCATAGATGATGGCATAGCCAGTGTCATTCAAGAGTTGTCTGGAGTACCATTCTAATCACAGATATCAACTCCTATGTTAAAGATTTCCAATTAGATCAAGTGCTCCGGATCGTGGCATCAAAGGATAACACCAGAAAAGGTTCAGAGAGAGATATCCAGGAAGATGCAATTGAAGGAGGACAAGGATGTGCAATTACATGCCAATGTTATAGTCAACTTCTCAAGATTTTCTAGTTGTTATTGGATGACCTATGGGAAAATTTATATCTGTTGAGAGTTGGATCCACATCCTATAGGCATAATAAACCAGATAAGGATAATTCCTTTAATTCCTGGCTTCAGAAAAAAGTTTGTAAATGAGTGTGACGGCTTACTGTTGGCACTCTAACCGAGACACATCCACAAAGAAGAATCATATTGGCAAGCTTGTTGTCCAGTAACTAAGAATGTCATTACTCTACAACCTCCCATAGCAGGCTACTGAGAGTGTTCTCTTTATTGCTCTTTTTTACCCTAAATCTTCGATATTAAAAAATATGAATTCATAAAGGCACTGGATGGGGTTAAATTTATTTGACAAATGTAGAGTTTAATGACATAGAGGAGCCTTCACACTCAGGATGCTTTCATAGAAAGCCTACAAGCAACATGCTTACTATAACCTGACAATGAACATATAAGAGTGTTATTGGTATGCATAGAAGATGCATGATGTCATTAGAGAAATGGCATTACAAACAACCAATGTTACATTAAACGCTGAGCGCTTCTAGACGTCGGACTTGGCGCCCAACGCTTAGTCGCCTAGGTGGGCGCCTAAGCGGTTTCTGGGCGTTTTTTTTCTTTCTTCATTAAAGTGGTGGTCGATGAGGTTTTGCTGAAGGTCGGAGGAGGTAGTGGAGGTGTTCATATTTGGAGGTTAATGGAGTTTGGAGGATGTGTAGGCTACGACACATAAAATCGCAATCAATGCCTACAGGGTGCAATCCACGTAAGCAGACAATGCTCACCTAAACGCTCGTAATATCTAGGTGGGCAGCCTAAATACCGCCTAGACGTTAGGCGCTAGTTAGGCGGCCTAGGTACCGTCTAGGCCTAGGTACCGTCTAGGCCTAGGCGTACGCCTAAGCGGACTAGGCGGAGGTTTTTTAAAACAGTGCAAACAACTTCAGATCATGAAGAGAACAAATATAAATACGGATACTAGGGAATAGGACATTGAAAATTAATGCCCGATTCCTTACTACTATGGAACATATGGGTATTGAGGGTTATCATAAAGTTATGAGATGGATAGATTTTATTGCAAACCTAGAAGAAGAAGCAAGTAGAAGAAAATATACAAGTAAAAGAAAATATCCTCAAAAGGAAGGCAACGAACATAGCTTTGCTCCTGTTAAAGGCAAGATGAAGTGAGAAGCAGAAGAAAAAATAGCTCAAAGCAAGAAGCTCAATGCTCCTAGGGACATTGGAAAATGCCTATGTAATTCAAGAACATTGTAGTTTAAAATTGGTATAATACCGTTTTACTCGAAGATGTCTAAATAATCTCTGGAAGAAACTGCAAAAAATGCGAGTTTCCACTCAACACACTAATGCTTATCTATCAGCATTGGAAAAATCAACATTGATAATATCAAAGGTATGAAAAATCAAAAAGAGCAAATGCAAGATTCTTTAGATTCAAGCTCTAGAAATCTAAGATCAATTCTAGAGAAAATTGAAATCAAAGATCTGGCTGTTACCAAGATTGATGACTTTGTCGAACTAGTCAACTACTTTAAGTTTGATATTTTAAAATATCAAACAAAAAAAAAATTAAAGGACATGTTCGACAGTTATCAGCGCAACCTGATTGTTGATCAGGCAATGCCATCTTATTTTGAAAAATTAAAAGATGATGGAGTAAATTCATTGTTCAAGTCAGCTTCACATGTCCTATTAAATCAATATGATCGACTATGGGTACTAGCCAGTTTTGAGCTCATACCCTCCCATAACATAAATATCAAAAAAGTCTAGTACATAAATTATATCTTTACAAAACTAGACCAGAAGAATATAAATCCCTTATTCCTGATAAATGTAGTCAGACACTTGAAAAAACAGAAAAATTTCAAAGAGTATTCGAGTTCACTATACACGCGATATGGGAAGAACGTAATGTACTCAAATACTATCCTTCCTACCAGATTTGGAGGCTCGAACCCTCGGTAAGGGAGCCCCATTTCAGGAAAGATTCCAGGAATGATTGGAAAAAAGGAAAGATTCCAGGAAAAATTGGAAGAACGTAAAGTTTTCTAGACAATAAAATAAAAATTGGAAAAAAAAGGAAAGATTCCAGGAAAGAAAAAATTTGTGGTAAAACCCTAAGTCTCTAAAAGAACCTATAAATGTTTCATATGCTAAGAAATAGGCCACTATGCTAACGAATGTCCTAAAAAGAAAGGTACAAATGAAATAATTATAGATGACATTGAAGACTTTACCTTGTACAGGTTAACCAACTCCAAATTGATTCCGATAATTCTTATTATGAATTAGTAACGGAATCAGATACAGATGGTGATGAGGACTATAATTATCCTCAAATCTATATGATGAATAAAGAGTCTAGCAGTATATCAGGTGAAGATATAGTCTTCCGAAACTGATATACATGATCTCCAAGGGGAGAGATTCTGTCTAAAATTAGCCATTCCTAAACCTCATCGTCAAGATGTTTATAGGAAAACATGTATTTTTAATATTAAATTGCTTAATAAACATTATTTCATATTTGATAGGGTAGATGGAAATATCGAACTATATGGGGAAGATAGTTTTAAAAGTTGTTCTTGAATAGTGGATTTATTCCATCATCTTTCAGCTTTTCAAAATAAGATAGCATTGCCTGATCATCAATCATGTTGCGCTCATAACTGTCGAACATGTCCTTTAATTTTCTGCCTGATATTTTGAAATATCAAACTTAAAATAGTTGACTAGTTCGACAAAGTCATCAATCTTGGTAACTGTCAGATCTTTGATTTTAATTTCCTCTAGAATTAATCTCAGATTTCTAGAGCTTGAACCCAAAGAATCTTGCATTTGCTCTTTTTGATTTTTCATTGCCTTTGACATTGTCAAGATTGATTTGCTTATGAGGTTTTTCACTATGCTTTTGCACCTGTGGTATTCTTTCTCAAGGTCCTGAATCTTACTATTCTTTTCCTTGATAACTTTTTCTAATGCTCATAGACAAGCATTAATGTCGGGAGTGAAACTCGCATTTCTTATAATTTCTTCCAAAGATTATTTACTGCATTGCAGATTGCTTCGGGTAAACTGGTATTATGCCAGTTTTTGACTACAATGTCCTTGAATTGCAGAGGTCTTTTCCAATGTCCCTGAGGAGCATTAGGCTTCTTGCTTTGAGCTATTTTTTCTTCTGCTTCTTGCTTCGTCTTAACTTTAACAGGAACAAAACTATTTTCGATTGCCTCTCTTTTGAGGATCTCGCCAGTATTTGATGCACCTGATGCAATGTGGACATTCATATATATATTGTCAGGTGTCGTAATTATTTTAACATATTCAGCTAGTTGATGTATATTTTCTTCTACTTGCAGCTTCTTCTAGGTTTGCAATAAAACCTATCCACCTCATAACTTCATGATAACCCTCAATATCCATATTTCCCGTAGTAGTAAGGAATCAAGCATAATTTCAATGTCATGTTCCCTATTGTCTGTATTTATACACTTATTGAGGATTTGAGATATTTGTAGTAGTAGGAGTGTTTCATCCATACTTGCTCCTTTACCTCAAGTTGAGGGAGAATAGGTGCTTTGCCTTTATCCGAAGGCTTATTGGAAAAAGAACTAGCCATGCCTAGGGAGAAAATCAGCACCAATATTAGTGACTCTAGGAATATATCGAACTTTATAAATATAGTTTTCTAACTCCATGGACCATCTAATCCTCCGCACGTTCTTCTCAATTAAAAAATATCTTTTTTTGAGAAACTGTGTTACAGCTTGATTATCCATTTTAATAATGAACTCGAATGATAATAAATATACTTTAAGGAATTATTAGTATTTTTAATAGCAGTAATTCCTTATCATATGTGACATAATTTTTCTCTGGTCTCTTAAATTTCTTAGAGCAATATGCACATATTTCGAGATCCAATTGGCTGATATTTGCCCTTGATTCAGGCTTTGATACCAATCTTGAGCGGGGATGCGTAGGCGAAAGTGCAAACAAAATTTCGGCTCAATGTGTATCTGAGCCATCATTTTGTATAACCAATATATCCCTAGACTGTGTCTGATAAAAGATTTTTTATTCCTTTATTTCCGCTTTGATGTTGGCAATTTCTTATAATTGCTCATCATTGAGTGTAATTTTAATTTTTTCCGTGTCCCATCAGGTCACGCACTTATTATTTCTCTTTATATTTCTTCTGTTCTTCAGTAAGTTTATTCTGAAGTGAAAATAATCTTTTCGGAGAAATTGGGTATACACCTCCCAGAATTTAGTGAGCCCAAAGTCCAAAAAGCTTTACAGATCATTCAGAGTTTTAAAGTTATCTTTAAACTCTTTGATCTTTGTGATAATGTGTCTTTAATTCAATGTGACCACTCTTAATTTTTTCCTAAAAATTTGATACTCTTTCATATGAGTTATCTTTTAAGGGAATAAAATAATACCATGATTGAGCAATAGCTGAGCTACTGCTATCAAGTGTTCTTTGTATTCTTCCTTAGTTTTAGAGAACACAAGGATGTCATCTATGTAGACGACGACAAACATTAAATGTCCAAAAATACTATTCATCCATTTCTGGAATATTTGTGAAGCATTTTCGAGTCCAAATGACATGATGTTCCATTCATAATATCCTCCATTAGGATAGCTGAATGTCGTTAGCCTTTTACTTTCTTCATCTTTTATTTTTATTGGTCAGAATCCAGATTTTGCATCAAATTTGCTAAATCATCTGACATCTCGAATTCTATGCAATAGCAATTAACTATTAGGGATGAAGAATCCATCAAATTTAGCGACTTCATTAACCTTTTTATAGTTAATGACCATCCTTGCTTTTCCTCTCTTTTGCTCAACATGATTTCTTACCAAGAAAACAGGAGAAGAATGATTTGATTGTATTTTTTGAATCAGATTGAGTTTGAGAAGCTCTGCTATTTGAACAATAGACAGTGAAAAGAGGTGGAACAAGGTAAAGAAAGTACAACGGACGCAAATGAGATTAAGGAGTTACCTATCAGCGCTTTCAGTTGTCCCAATCTCACAATCTTAATTCTTAATGCTCCAGTACAACAGGATTGGGTACTTGGACCTATCCCACAGCGGCTTGGATTTTTTATTAAAATTTTTGGTAGATAAAATGGCAATTTTCAAACCTTTTGGGGACTAAAGAAAAATAATCCTAACCTATTATTCTTTCAGTTAAATAATGTCTTCTTGCTACATTAGATTCTCTCTCCTTTTGCTTCTAAATTAAAGATGTGAGATCGGATTATAGAAAGTCCCAAGTTTAGGGACAAACTACAGCCTCAAGAAATCACTTCTTAAACTACTATTAATTTCTTATGATTTTATAAAGATAACGAGCGTTTTGAAAACAAGAGAGGAAAGTGGATGTCAAATCCTTGAATATTAGTGCTGAGGAAGCTACAAGAGAAAGCTATAAAGTTTTGAAAGCATAAATTACATGAAATGACCTTAGCCCAATCAGTCACTAGAATGAATGATTTATGTGTGAATGGTGAAGAATAATTTTAAAGACTAACTCCAAGCAATGGAGCCCAGACTAATTGGTATGAATGACAATTATCATCAACTTGTTAAGTAAATAGTGTAAACAATTCACATAAAGATCTTTACGTGTATTAACCTCCAAAATGAAAATTTTGATTATTAACATGTTAACAAAGAGCATTATAAGGGGATTAATTCAGGTATAAAAATGGAAATTAAGTTCCCAAAAGTGTGCAATTTAGGAATCGTGAAAATATAAATTAAGCCCTCAATGTTTCAAATGCATAACCATGCTCATTCCATGTGCCAACTTGATACACAACATGCTTCATAATGGAAATGTTGTTCACAAGATATCACAAATGAAATTTACAAGTTGAGCTAAGATTCTAAGAAGTTTCAAGCATAAAGTATGGCTAGTAAGCATACAATTCTTCCCTCTATCGAAACCATGCAGGCCATTACTTAGAGGTTTTGTATACATACAAAATAGAAATTTCACCGCGCTTTGATTTATTTATCCAAGTCATCAACAATAACAATACATCCCTACACAGAAT